TTGCTCAACAACTGCACAACCACACCAGAAATGGCCCAGGAGAAAGAGAATGTGTGTAAAAAGCGTTTACTGGCTGTTGTTGTGTTAGCACTGGAGACATGGCTGATGGTGTAGATCACCCTGCCACAGCTATTTATGCAAGGATTACGCTTCCTCAGTGAATGAGACGAGGACGCGGCGGCGCATGTGCTTATTTAATTAGCAGGACCGAGAGGAAGGGGGGTTTGCCGGAATACTGATGGGGAACGACGCTGGGCTCATCGCTGGGCTCGGACGCTCGCATTACCGCCGCAATTAGCACTTAGATTGGAGCTCTAAACCCTCTCATTTGGGAGGTAATTGGAGATCTTGCTGCTACCTGAGACCACCGTGACTGTCTGCTGCTTTCTGCAAATCACGCCGCCTGACGCGTGGACAATTGGAATTTATTTGAATGTTTATGTTGTTAAGAGGCGATTGGTCTCCACAGAAGAGTCTCTGGTTGATAAAAACAGGTCTTCGTGATATTGATGAGTAGATATTGTGAAAATATGACGTTACGATATTTTATTGTATTCATTTTTATTTGGCTTAGTCCCTTACTTATCAGGGGTCTCCACAGTGGAATGAACCGCCAACCATTTAGGCATATGTTTTACGCCTTTCAGCCACAACCTTAAAGCCTCTGCCCTAAATTACTCAAAGCTCCACCCTAAATGACTGATAGCTCCGCCCTAAATGACTGATAGCTCAGCCCTAAATGACTGATAGCTCCAGCCCTAAATGACTAATAGCACCGCTCTAAATTTCTCAAAGCTTCGCCCTAAATGACTGATAGCTCAGCCCTAAATTAGTGATAGCTTCACCCTAAATGACTAATAGCCCCGCTCTAAATTACTCAAGGCTCCGCCCTAAATGACTGATAGCTCCGCCCTATGTGACTGATAGCTCAGCCCTAAATTACTGATAGCTTTACCATAAATGACTAATAGCCCTGCCCTAAATTATTCATAGCTCCGCCCTAAATTACTGAAAGCTTTGCCTTAAAGGACCAATGGCTCTGCCCTAAATGAAGAATAGCTCCACCCTAAATGACTGATAACTCCCCCCCCAAATGACTGATATCTCCGCCCTAAAGGACTAAAATCTCTGGCCTAAAGGACTGATAGCTTCGCCCTAAATTACTCAAAGCTCCACCCGAAATGACAGATAGCTCCGCCCTAAAGGAGTGATGTTTCTGGCCAAAAGGACAGATATCTCCGCCCTAAAAGACTGATAGCCCCGCCCTAAATTATTCATAGCTCTGTCCTAAATTATTCATAGCTCAACCCTAAAGGACTGATAGCTCCACCCCAAATGACTGAAAGACCTCCCCTAAATGATTGAGAGCTTTGCCCTAAACGACTGATAGATCCGCTCCAAATTACTAGAAAGTCTGCCCTAAATGACTGATATATATGCCTTAAATGCTTAATAGTACCGCCCTAAACTATTTATAGCTTTGCTCTAAATTTTTCACTGATGAATAATTTGACTGATAGCTCCACCCTAAATGACAGATAGCTCCACCCTAAATGAATGATAATTTCACCCTTAATGACTGATAGCTGCCTTAATTGACTGATAGCTCCACCCAAAATGACTTCCATCCTAAAGGACTGATAGCTCCACCCCAAATGACTGATAGTTCCATCTTAAATGACTGCCAGCTCCACCCTAAGGAACTAATAGTTTAGTCTTTAATGACTGACAGCTGCACTAAACAACTGATAGCTCCACCATAAATTACTTCAACCATAAATAACTGATAGCCCCACCCCAAATGACTAATAGCTCCACCCTAAATTACCGATATCTCCGCCCTAATTCACTGATAGCTCCGCCCTAAAGAACCGATAGCTCCACCCTAAATTACAGATATCTCCACCCTAAATGACTGATAGCTCCACCCTTAATGACTGATAGCTCCACCCTAAATGACTGATATCTCCGCCCTAAAGAACTCATAGCTCCACCCTAAAGATCTGATAGCTCTGCCCTAAAGAAGTTCTATGTGACCAAGAAGTGAAAGAAGTTACGGTACCTAATGGCAAATTAAGACAAATTAATTTTTACAAAATTGCCAAAAAGGACAAAACTTCATTTTTTTATGGATAAATAGTTTATATTTTATATAAATACAGTAATTTCTGGTCAGCCATAATTCAACACTGCATATCTGTGTGCACAATGCAATATCGATGCTGAGATGATATATTGTACAGCCCTAATATAAAGAACCGTCTGTTTTATAACATGTGACGCACCTGAGAGATCTGATTGGGTTGCAGCACTTCCTTCACCATAGACGTAAAGATGTCCTCTTTTCCATCACAGGCAGCAATCAGCTCAGGAAGACCTTCGATTGGGCCTTGGTGGCCACATCCAGCCCTCACACCTCTGGAGCTCCACCTCCTGAAAGAGGAAACACACTCACATTTGGTCGATGGAGACACCACACACTGGAAATTAAATCATCTGTTTAACTGTAACAGTCTTATAGTAGAGGATTGAGGAGAGGGTTTTCACTGATATACCTTATACTCGGTGGTGTAAAGTTACAAATACTAGGAATACTGAGCAGTTTATCTCAGAAATTGTCATTTTCATAGTAGAAAAAAAGTATACTTTTACTTTCCCTTGAGCACATGTTTATTGCTGTATTAGTACTCCACCCTAAAGGACTGATAGCTCCGCCCCAAATGACTGATATCTCCGCCCTAAAGGACTTATAGCTCCACCCTAACGACTGATAGCGCCGTCCTAACGACTAATAGCTATGCCCTAAAGGACTGATAGCTCCACCCTAAATGACTGATAGCTCCGCCCTAAAGGACTGATAGCTCCGCCCTAAAGGAGTTCCATGTATCCAGAAAGTGAAGAAAGTCAGTCAAGGGGGCTGGTATGTTATAATGTTTAATTAAAGTTCATGAAGGTAAATTAATTGTTAAAAATAATGAAGAACACAGACAGCTCCTTTA